GCATGCGCTAAAATAAGCCCTCCCCCAAAATATTGCAACACAGCAGCAGCCATGAGGTGACCACACTTGACGCCTCCTGCACCTCAAAAATAATAAGACTTCCCCGAAAATAAGGCCAAGCGCTTATTTCATGGGTCAAAAGAAAATAAGACTCTCTTACTTTCGGGGAAACATGGTAGACTGAATCTTTCTTTTTTCTGCATCATGGATTGTGAGGAAGGGGGGGAAAATGACGCTTCAGCATCTGATCCATTAAAGATAGTTAGAACTGAGGTTAAACCTGAGGTGGTATTCAGCCGATTCGGACCAGTTCTAGTGAACCGGTAGCGGAAATTTTGAGTAGTTCGGAGAACTGGCAAATACCACCTCTGGTTGGCCCCGCCCTCCTGTCCCCGCCATTCCCTGTCTTATATTCCCTTGTTTTTTTACCTCAGCTGATTCGCCCAGCAGACCAAATTGCGTTGCCTCAGCTGAGCTAAACAACAGCTTAGCTCACCAACACTGACACCGAGGGTGGTCTTTGAGTGCTGCATGCATGCACATGCGCGCAAAGCGTTCTCTCATAGAACCGGTAGGAAAAGATTTGGAATCCCACCGTTGGGTTAAACTCTACTTCAGGGGTATCAAACTTGCAGCATCACGGTGTTGTCATGTGACATATCACAACTTTTTCCCTCTTGCTACACTGAGTGTGAGCGTGGCCAGCGGGTGACGCATCCGGTCTGCGGGCTGCAAGTTTGACACCCTTGCTCTACTTAATTGCAAATGGATATATGATCTGAATTAATAATCTAGGAAAGAATTGCATATAGAAGCAGTCGTCGACTTACAACAGTTCCTTTAGTGACTGAGGTTATAATAGCACAGAAAAAAGTGACTTATGACAGCGTTTCACACTTCTGGCCATTACAGCATCCCTATGGTCATTTGAACTAAATTTAGACGCTTGGAAACGGGTTCATATTTATGACAATTGCAATGTCGCAGGTCATGTGATCACATTTTGCGACGACCTGACGAGCAAAGTCAATGGGGAAGCTGAATTCACTTAACAACTGCATTGATTCTTTTAACAACTGTGGCAAGAAGAGTGTAAAATGGGATAAAACTCACTTAGCAACCGTCTTGCTTAGCAACAGAAAGTTTGGGCTCAATTGTGGCCGTAAGTCGAGGATTATCTATTTAATATTTTAGCAATTCTCAATTAATACTTTCAATCTCCAGTCTGCAGGAAGAACAGATTATTAAACGCCAGGCTTGCAATGTCAAAAAATGAATGATCACTTTCCTATTTAATTATTTATCAGGCCAGCTCTACCAGCCTTAGCTTTTAATCCAGCAGATTAAATGTAAACGATCAATCCGGTATGGTAATCTACTAGTGGCTCATTACATTTCATATTTTTGCTGCCTGCCTAGAAGTATAAATAGAAGCATCTTTCAGGAAAGTGCCTCTGGCTTGATGCCTCATACATACATACATAGATCTAGTCTGCACATTAGGACAGGGGTCCTCAATTCTGGCCCAAGGCCCACTAGCAGGCTGTGACCCGTTTGGAAACAGGCTACATAAGCAGCTGGTCGGGTGTTATGTGCATAAAGTTCAACTTGCGCAAGTCTAGCTATCCACGCATGGCATGCGCGTCGGCCTGCTGCTTGTGCAAGTTGAGCTGTGTGCACATGCACCAGTCCTCAGCTCGCATGGCTCGGGTTCCCCCCTCTCTCAGCTGGGCTGCCAAGGTTGGGGACCATTGCATTAGGACCAGGAGAAGACATAGATGACTTTACTTTGGCTTTGCTCTGACTCAGATATTAAACAACTGGATTGTAGAAGAAGAAACCAAAGGGAAAAAAACCCATAGAGCTGATGTGGCTTAGGCAGCAACGCCAAACATTTGTTGGTGACAATCACTTAGAGATAAATCAACATCTATCAATAGCAATGCACTCCCAGCAAACTTTAATACATACACAGCCAATGAATATTAAAGGGAAAGGTTCCCCTCACATGTATGTGCTAGTCGTTCCTGATTCTAGGGGGCAGTCCTCATCTCCATTTCAAAGCCGAAGAGCCAGCGCTGTCTGAAGACGTCTCCGTGGTCATGTGGCCGGCATAACTAAACACCAATGGCACACCTAACGCTGTTACCTTCCCATCAAAGGAGGTCCCTATTTTTCTACTTGCATTTTTTACGTGCTTTCGAAGTGCTAGGTTGGCAGAAGCTGGGACAAGTAACGGGAACTCACTCCATTAAGCAGCGCTAGGGATTCGAACCGCTGACCTTTCTAATCGACAAGCTCAGCATCTTAGCCACTGAGCCACCGTGTCCCACTAATGAATATTAACGGCCAATAAATATAGGCCACATTACAGATGGCAGTCATTCCGATGAACGTTGTTTTCAATGACACAAGCAATCAAACAGTGCTTTGACTACTGTTCCACTCTACAAATAAATTCTCTCATGCATTTACACTTACCAGCAAATTGGTCTCGTGTTCAGTATCTGGCATGTAAGGATACTGCACATAAAACATGTCATTTCGTACCATCTTCTTCCTCATCCGGCATGGCCCTTCGGTCATTTCCAGCATCCATTTGTCCAGGTGAGAACCGATGGGAGGCCCCCAAAGACCCCTCTCCCGTAACAACTCATATTCAATTTGAGACCATTCTTCTGTCACATACTTCAAGGCATTTTGCTGCCGCTAAAAAAAGGAAGGAGAGGTCAGCTGCCATTTTTATCGAATAACCAAAATGTTTGGCTCATGTTATCATTGTTCCTTTCACTTGCTCTTCTTCCATTTTTGTTGTTGTTAGTTGCGAAGTCGTGTCTGATCCATCGCGACCCCATGACAAGATTCCTCCAGGCCTTCCTGTCTTCTATCACTCTCTGGAGTCCATTTAAGCTCACACCTATTGCTTCAGTGACTCCATCCAGCCACCTCATTCCCTGCGGTCCCCTTCTTTTGCCCTCCATCGTTCCCAGCATGAGGCTCTTCTCCAGTGAGTCCTTCCTTCTCCTTAGGTGGCCAAAGTATTTGAGTTCCATCTTCAGGATCTGGCCTTCTAAAGAGCAGTCAGAGTTGATCTCCTCTAGGACTGACCGCTTTGATCGCATTGCAGTCCAATTTTAATATNTACTGCCTTAAAATGGCTTCTACTGTACAGCGCTGTGGAGTTGCCAGAGTAATAGCTTCACAGTACTCCGCAAGGGGGCACCCACTGGTAAGGAGAAAAATCCAACATTAGAAATTGTGGTGATGTTCATGGAAGGAGGGTTGGGATAAAAAAATACCCGGGGAGCGCAGGGTTATCAGCAAGTGGTAAATAAATGCTGGGTTACAGAAGAATTTTTCCTCAATGTCATTTTTATTCAACTGGATGTTTGAAATTAGGAAGAGTGCTAGGCCATATAAGAGAACTACTCAAAATAGTCAAAACCTTGGCCTAAAATAGCGGTCTCCAAACTAGCTGAGGAATTCTGGGAGTTGAAGTCCATCAGTCTTAAAGTTGCCAAGTTTGGAAAGTGCTGACCTAAAAAGTCAAAAGTTTTAAGGGTGAAGTTTACTGATAGGCTCTACCTTTCACTATGTATACATCCGTTAAGAGCTTTTTTCTATGTGAGCCCATTGAAACAAATGGAATTGCCCAGGCATTTAATAATAACAAAAATATTGCTTAGGTCAATCAGTATACAATTAAACAATTCTTCATTTCACTCCCAAATAAATACTTTCTCATTCCCTTTCACTTCTAAAAGAAAACATATCTATATTCTTAATTTGAAGTTGTCAAAGATCACAAATGAGTGAGTATAGAAAGGAAACACAGAAACTAAATTATTGCTGTTTGCAAAAAAAAATTGAATGAAACACCTTTTTTTTTTACAAAAAAGAAATAGTCATGTTTTCAGAAATGTTCAGTATTTGAGCACAAGCCAATTTCATCTCAATTTCAGAGGAGATTTTAGCAATAACCCCTTAGTATATCTCAGCTCTACTAGTGATGTCTGTTTTACCAATAAACAAAGGTATTAATATAAAAAATTGCATTTGCTAAACAATATATTAAAAATATCCACGCTGATTTTTTGTTTCTGATTAAAAATATTTACTTTATGCTAAAAAATATGTCTACCTTCAAAATTCTATAGAACCTGCTCCTAACAGCTGATGTTCCAACATTGCTTATCAGTCACACTCACATTGTTAGAACAATGAACAAGGAAGCAGTGCTAACTTTGAAGATTTTGTCATTTTAGGATTTCCCATATAGTTCGTTTTTGGTCCAATTCTTACACCACAAGAGCAGCTGTGGCTTTTGCTCCCAAGCAGATGTTCCATAACATCAGCTTAATTAGATCATTTGGGAGGGCCTTTCAGGGGGAACTCTTGCATACAAATGAACATATGTCACTTCCTACTCAAAGATGTCAACATAATGGATTAGCATTGTGGCTCAGTTGTTTTTCCCCTTGGCGTTCTACCATTAAATTGGGAGACTGTAACAACATGCTCTGTATTTGACAATGTTATAAACTAGTTTCTGAACAAAATTATGTTTTGTGTTCTTTAGATGAAAACCAACTTTTATAGAATATAAACAGGCCAGCTAAAGATGTTGTGACTTGGGTAATTTTTTTCTTCTAAGACACATTGATCAATAATTGTGCATGTACGAAATTGTCCAGAGATATTTTCTAAAGAAATGGAAACTAAACATAGGGTGTATCCTCGGCTGGCCCATCTAGCCATAGAGTTATCTGTGTTCTCTCCTTCAGTTAACTGGTTCAGGAACCATCTCCAATTTGGGAACATGCTATATATATGTCAGATATCAGATCAATGTTATAATGACCACAATACTCAGCCTGGGGAAAAGCCCACCCCAAATCTCTAAATTCTGATACAATCTTCTGTTAGTACATAGTTAAAGTGGCAATTTCCTATATCAAAAAAACATTTTTTTTACCATTCAGCCTCATGGATTAGTCCAAGTTTTATTATACAGGTAGTCCTTGATTTACAACCACAATTAAGCCCAACATTTCCACTACTAAGCAATACAATTGTTCAGTGAGCTTTACCTCATTTTATAACCTTTGTTGCCACAGTGGTTAAGCGAATCACTACAGTTATTAAGTTAGGAACACGGTTGTTCAGTGAATCTGGCTCCCCCCATTGACTTTGCTTGTCAGAAAGTTGCAAAAAGTGGTCGCTTGACCCTGGGACATCGCAACAGTCATAAATACATGCCAGTTTCCAAGCGTCCAAATTTTGATCATGTGACCACGGGGATGCTACAATGGTCATAAGTCACTGTTTTCAGTGCCATTAAACGGTCAATAAATGAACTGTTGTAAATTGAGGGCTGCCTCTTGTCAGAGTTCCAAGCAATACCCCTAATGAAAGAAGACTATGAGGCTTGAGTTTCCTCAAAGTTACCGTATTTTTCGGATTATAAAACACACCTCCCCCCCCCAAAAAAGAGAGTAAAAATCTGGGCGCATCTTATATACTGAATATAGCATTTTTGGCCCCCCGAAACCCCGCCCCTTTCGCAAAAATGAACGTGCAGAGGGCTTGGGAGGCCTGCAGAGTGCAAAAACTATTTTTTTAAAATTTACCTCTTCAAAATCTTGGTGCGTCTTATACTCCGATGCATCTTATACTCCGAAAAATACGGTACATTTTATTAGTGATGTCATATTGGCACATGTGGGAAAACTCGAATCTGAAAGCTTCCGGGTTTTCCCCACCCAAACGAAAGTTCAAGTCCCTGCCCAGCACCCACATGCCCATCACATGGCCCATTCAGACCCCGTCCCAACTGGAGATGCCTTCCGGTCACACCACTCCGGGTGCAGGGCAAGACGTCCTTGACTCTCTGAGAAAGGAATGTTATTTTGACTATATCTCTCACATTCCATAACACCCCTCCCCATCCCAATTTCCCACAGCATTAAATGTGGCAGGCCTGAAGGTCCAATGCAAAAGATGGCTTCCAGGCCTGACACCTGTAATGTATTTTGATAACATGGTGATTTGTGGGGACTCATACCAAGCACGGTTCCAATCTTATTGGTTAATACAGAATCAGTCTGTTCCAGCCAGCCTCCGCCACTCAGACCTTCCTTGAATTTGATGAGGATAGTTGGGTTGCTCAGCAAAACTACCAGAATCCTCATGGCTGCAGTCACTGTAGCCGGATGCAGATGGTCTTCCATAAACAGCACAACCCAATCAAAGCCCAGGGTCCGGACCAGCTCTTCGCAAGCCCTAAGGGTGATCCATAAAATTAGCAATGCAGATCAACACTAGACCAAGAATCAGGAAGTAAACAATGCCCCAATCAAGGAATTACCAACGTAAACAAAGAAGCTAACAGTACACAACAGCCTAGTCAGGGAATCCCCCAAGTCCTCTGGGATTGGGCGGCCTATAAATCGATTTAATAAATAAATAAATAATAAATAAATAAATAAGACCAAGAGTCTCAAACTGGATTTCATTGTGGGCTGCTTCAGGATTGTGTTTGACCTGGGGGTGGGGTGGGTGAGCATCGCCAGGTGGCCGTGGCCAGCTCAATGTCACTCATGTTGGGGGCACCTGTGGTGGCCCTGGGGGGATCCATTTTTGGTAGTAGTTTGTTTTGCTAGCATTCTGCCAGCAAAAATGGAGTTTGGGGAGGAGGGGCGCACGGCCCTCCCAGGCTCCATTTTTGACTGTGACAGCCTTCTGCAGCCCTCTGCCAGCGAAAAGGGCCACCGCACATGGCCCTCCCAAGTTCCATTTTTGCTGACAGAGGCACTGCGGGCCAGTCCTTCATCGTTTCCAGGGCAGTCCCACAGGCAAGATCTAAGCACCCCGTGGTCCCGATCTTGAATTTGACGCCCCTGCCCAAGACCATTCCCATAAACACTGAAAGGGAGCCACTAGAATATAAAAATAAGAGTAAATCCCATTTCCTCCTAGCACTGATGATGTTTCCTAGTTTAGTAATGAAATGACTGCGAGAAAACCACTCTAAGAACAGCAAGGACCTCACAGTTGGCAATTTTTCAGGGGGGAAAGGGGTTTAACAAAGATCTGGTGTTTTGTTCCCGAGCATTTATTTGCACAGACATGGATTTGTTGATGTTTGTTGATACAAAAGTAGAATCGTCCTGGATTTTGTTAGAGTTACATCTATGTAAAGAAAAATCTAGATTATGTGTACTCACTGTAAATTGACGCTTGTTTTTTCTTTAGATGTGTACATAAGCTTCAGCAGGATATCCAGCAATCTGTTTCGCAGAAGAATAAGATTTGCAGAAACAAGACCACCAAAATCTTCCTCGGTTCCTAAAATGTAAATTATTACTTTGAAGCAGGCAATTTCGAACACTCATGCAAAGATTATTTTCTAAAACGATGTCAGAGTCAAAATGGCTTCAGTCAGGTCAGGTCAGGGTTGGAGCCCTGACAGTCAGTGGACATTAAGGCCATAATCCATCTAGCTAACAAATACTTCCTCAGTTTTATTGTACGGGAAATGTTCCTTGAGCTAAAGATTACAAGATGAAACAATTATAGATCAAGAAAAAAGGAAAGAAAAGAAAATTCACTAATGCATTAGTTTTGGAATTATACACTATATATATAAATTTAAATAGACATGCTGCAGAAAATAGGTTTAAACTAATCTACCAATGTACACCTAAGCAAGTTAAGATGTAAATAGTCTTTTAGTGTTACAACATTTTTGTACTTAGTACAAATTTTGACTGGCGTAAAAAGAGTTGTAATATCAAGTGTAGTCACAAGGTACCTGCTTAACAACTACCTTGTTTCCCTGAAAATAAGCCCTTCCCGGATAATAAGCCCAATCGGGGTTTTGAGCGCATGTGCTAAAATAAGCCCTCCACCAAAAATAAGCCCCCCCAAATATTGCAACACAGAAGCAGCCATGATGTGACCACGCTCGCTACCTCCTGCACCTCAAAAATAATAAGACCTCCCCAAAAATAAAGCCAAGTGTTTATGGGGGGGGGGGTTTCAAAAGAAAATAAGACCCTGTCTTTTTTGGGGGGAAACACAGTAGCATGCCCTCTTGACTGTAATTCCAGTCTCAATTACAGTCATAAATCAAGGACTACCTGCACACCAGAGAATGGAAAGCATGAGCTTAAAAACACACACACACACATTAAATGTTAATGCAAAAATACATCTCAACTTCTCTTTCACTCTTTCCCTTGAACCTGGAACTACTTACCAGTGTCAAGCTTCTCTTCATTGTTCATCTCCATGACTACAAATTTCTCACAGACTGCAAATGTAGGCAAAGTAGAAGCGATGAACTGTCCAAACCTTGAAAAACAGAAGGAGAAAAATGGCAGGCACTTGTGTGACAAATCGTGTTTAATTTTGCTAGTTGTTAGTATCAGCTGCGCAGTAAAATAACACTAAGTGGCAATGGATTAAAAAAAATGTAGATTGTGGGGACATCTGATTTAGGATTAAAATTGCCTTGGTCTAACCCTAACATAATGTCCTTCCCCACTCTACCGAAACACTGCTTGTACCGCTGGAGGTTCTGGTATTGAGATGTCAGAACGCAACTTAGTTGGGAAAGGTGACTTGTAAAAGCCAAGACACATGTGATAATGCACAATTATTAGGTATAAATAGTAAATTATGTATTTTAAGTAAATTATACATGTGTATATAAACTATGGGATTATCATTATGGAACTGACATCGATTTTTGAACGCAAAAATATATTATTTTTTCCAAACATTAAATTACATTTTCCAAGCATGATAAAAAATTTATACAAGTACTGTATTTTTCGGAGTATAAGATGCACCTTTTTCCCTCAAAAAAGAGGATGAGAATCTGGGTGTGTCCTATACACTGAATACAGCAAGTTTTGGCCTACCGAAACCCCGCCCCCCCTTGCAAAAATGGACGTACAGAGGGATTGGGAGGCTTGCAAAGTGCTCCTGGGGGCTGGGGAGGGCAAAAAAGAGCGAAAAATGGACCATTTTTGCCCCCCCCCAGCCCCCAGGAGCACTCTACAAGCGTCCCAAAGCTCTGCCTGCCCCCCCTTTTTTTTGCAAAGGGTTTAGGAGGCCTGCAGAGTGCAAAAACTTTTTTTTTTAGTTTACCTCTTCAAAATCATGCTACGTCTTAATAGTCCGAAAAATAAGGTAGTCCTCAACTTATGACCACAATTGAGCGCAAATTTTTTGTTGCCAAGTGAAACATTTGTTTTGTGAGTTTTGTCCCATTTTACGACCTTTCTCGCCACAGTTGTTAAGTGAATCACCGCAGTTGGTAAGTTAATAACATGGTTGTTAAGTGAATCTGGCTTCCCCATTGACTTTGCTAGTCAGAAGGTCGCAAAAGGGGATTATATGACCCCGGGACACTGCAACTGTCATAAATATGAGTCAGTTGCCAAGCACCTGAATCTGAGACCATGGGAATACAGTAACAGTCATAAGTGTGAAATATGGTCATAAGTCACCGTTTTCAGTGCCATTGTAATTTTGAATGGTTACTAATAAACTGTTTTAAGTCGACGACTACCTATAGTAAAATTCTTATACCTACTATCCAATAGATTCTGGCCCTATTTTAAACATTTTCCTCTCTCACAGAAAAATCTCATCTCTACGTGGGGCTAAAGCAGGGGTGGGTTCCTGCCAAATCTACAGTGCTGTTTAGAACCGGTTCCAGCTCCCTCCCTCCCCCCCGCCCGTCCGGACATCATCAAGATGAAGAGCGAGAGGAGGAATTCTGGGAGTTGAAGTCCACAAGTCTTAAAGCTGTCAAGCTTGAACACCCCTGGGTTTTTTTTTTCCTAAAGGGTTAGGAGTGCAAGGATCTTGTAACTTGACAGCTTTAAGACTTCTGTGCTTCAAATGCCAGAGTTTCTGAACCAACATTTTGGTTGCTAAGCAAGAGTGTTGTTAAGTGAGTTTCACCACATTTTACAAGTTGGCCATGCCCACCCAGTCACATGACTGCCAAGCCACTCCCACAAAGCAGACCACTCCTACAGAAGAGATTCTAAAAAATTTTAAAACCCACCACTGGACTAGAGAAATGTGCCCTCTCATAGGTACCAGCTCTGTCAGGCCTGGAAGCCATCTTTTGCATTGGGCCTTCAGGCCTGCCATATTCAGTGCTGTGGGAAAGAGAGCACTCTCTCTAATTTTTCTAGGAAGAAAATCCATAGGGAATCTCAATGGTACCTGAGTAGGTCATTGCTGCTAGGGAACCCCTGAAGTAAATAGCTCAGAACATTGCTAATAGCGGCAATGGTTGGCTGTGATAAAGACACATCTCGAAGAGTGAGCAAGAGTTTTGGGATTAGCTGGAATTCCCTCATCAGTTTTGCATTTTTCGATGCTTCGCTGTAAGAGAAAGGACAATGTAATAAATAAGAAAATAATTGTCATTCTCCCTGAAAAGGATAAGCTTCTTATATTACAACTCACCTTATAAATTATTTTTGGAGAGGCAATAATATTTATGCATCAATCAGCAGATGGATCAATTGAGAAATCTGTATGGCTGGTATCATATTATACTACTTCATTCAAAAATACCCACATTTATTTACTTAGTTACCCCAATTATTATATCCAAGTATTTTTTCTTTGTTGATACTTTTTAGAGTTACCTATTTTACATAGGTTCCTAATATAATGAAAGTCAAATGCTGGTTAGCTCTTCTAAGACCCAGGTCTGGACATCACTTCTGAACACCAAGAAATCCGGTAAACATTTTGGAAGGCAAGACCTGTTCATATATTTGTAGTTTCCCTGATTGATTTCAAACATTATTTGAACGATATCTTTTAAAAGAAGGTGCTCTATTTCCTGCAGAGTTGTATATATTTAACTATAGTTAGCATGTGTGTTTGTGTAAAGGTGTATGTAATTATACCTTTGCAGTGCTCTGTATTCAAAGTGGAAACATAGCACCTATCTGTAATAACTTAAAACAAATTTGTCTTTTCTAAGATTGCAACTGAACTGAAGCATTGTGCTCCTCTACATTCTAAAATTTCATTTGGTGATTTAATCCAAAAAACTGTGTGGCTTTAACAAATATATTTTATCATGAGATGAGATATCTTTCCTACTCCTCCATCACTTCAAAAACAAAACACAAGCTCAAAAACGATCAATCAAGTTGTATAAGAGCATTAAAGCAAGCAACATTTTCTGTGAGTACTGATGGAGGAAAAAAATTTGGAGTGTTACATTTCTTACACTGTTTATAAAACAATATTTATCAATGTTACCTGGACTCAGTAAGAAGTTCGATGAAATGTTCAAATAATGAAAGATGAAGTTCGTAGGGGGCGTGAAGCCAAACCTGAAATGCAAAAATATTTCTAATTTGGCAGGTAACCAAAATATTTCCCTGAAGTAGATCCATCAGGAGTGAAGCCTGACTAATACTTCATCTTCATTCTAGATTAGCAAAATCACAATTTTATCGATTCTGCTTTAATCAGAACGTCGTTGTTCTGTAAAATATATACATAGTCTAAATAACAGTTCACTAATTTAGTTCTCCTTTGTCAAATAAATTTCCAGGCCAGGACTGCTCACTGGTCTAAGAAAGCAAAATTGGTTTATGTTTATTTTGATTGGCTCTGAATGTAACACAAGCCCAACCTATGAATACTATGAATCAATTTTGTATTTCAAATTCAAAGATTTGCATGCTGGGTCTCCCCACTGAAATAGCTCTGAAGGGTTGATAGAAAAGTTTATGCATATTACACAAAATTGTCTGCTCTAACGTCTTGCCTGTCAATGACTTCTTCAGCTTCTATCACACTAATGCATGGGCAAACCATCGATACAAACTCAAGGTAAACCGCTTCAAACTCGATTGCAGAAAATACGACCTCAGCAACAGAGTGGTCAACGCCTGGAATGCTCTACCTGACTCTGTGGTTACAGCCTCAAACCCTCAAACAGCTTCAATCTCAAACTGTCTACCGTGGACCTCACCCCATTCCTAAGAGGTCCGTAAAGGGGCCGTGCATAAGTGCACCAGCGTGCCTCCCGTCCCTGTCCCACTGTCCCCATTTATCTGTATTTACTTCCTTTGTTCGTGTTTATGTCCATTCCTCTACTTGCAATCTTGTACATGTTTGACAAACAAAGCATCGTATCACTTTGTAACGTTTGTTGAGACTCTCTAACTGCATAATTTTAAACAAAAATGGTCTTTATTAGTTAGCGATCATTAGCAAACTTTGGAGCGTTCTACCGAATCTGTAAGGAATGTGGATGGAAGGCCAAAGAAACCATCTACATCAAGATTGAACAGAGAGGGATGGACATAACCACACCTGTTTACAACAGGCTCCTTTCGGCAATTCCAATAAGCTTCCGCACCCATTTGCACTATTCAGGTCATCCTAAGGGCTCAGATAAACCTCCAACCTCAGAAAGAGTGCTAATGATGAGATGACTGCAAGGAATATAAATCTGTCCATCCTCTACCATTCAGTCAGAACTGAAGAGGCTTCTTGGGTGAGAAGCGAAAAATCTTCAAGGAAAAGCCAGAAAGTCCAG